GCAGCTGCAGCGGGATGTCACGGCAGGGCTCGCATGCAGCCGCAGCTCTGCCCAGGTGCCACGCTCATGGGAGCATCACAGAGCGAACAGCGGAGCCTCCGCTCTCCCATAGGGCAATGATGCACTTAGGGGGGGTTTAGGCCCTGCAGAAAGGGGGTGAGGTGGGAAGATGCTCAAGGACTGAGCCATCTTCTCCCTCATCCCCATGCCCCTCAGCTGCCTGAGGCAGCAACAGCCTCCGAGCTGCAAGTAACCAAGCAGCTTTCCCACCAGCACCGCGCAGCCAAGTGGTCCAGCAACCCCGGGGTTACTTTCAAGTAGCTGGTGATAAGGTGGAAGAGATGAAGAAGAGCTGGAGCACTGCGATGCCATGACACTGAACCCCGGGGAGGGTTGAAGCACAGAGAGATGGAGCACCAGCATCTCCAAGAGTGAGGAAAGCCGAGGGCAGCGCATGGGGCTGGGCAGGGCTATCAGCACCCAGCGAGGGCTGGGGAAGGAACAGTAAAGCTCTATCTGCTGCAGCCGGGTCCTGAATTAGCATCTTGAGAGACCACGCTGAAAATCAGACACCTTCTGCCCGAAACACGAGCCCGGACCTGAAAATCCCATCACTGGATCCGATGCTCAAAGAGCAAAGGGCACAGCCAGCCCCAGGCAGGCCCTGACACCACGGGGCAGGGCTGGTCCCCTGCACCCCCCCTCCCGCCCGGGGCAGAGGCAGCTCCATGAGGGCCAGAAGCTTATTTTTAGCCTGGGGAAGGCAGGATCCGGGGAGCAGCGATCCCGGCTCTTGCCCTTGGCGCAGGGCGCGCTGCTCCTGCCCCTGCTGCAGCGAGCGCCTCGGGCCTCAGTGCCTGCCCCCCCCCCCGGCTCCGCAGCGCTGGAGTCAGCCCCCGGCTGGCATCGCCAACCGGCCCGAGGAGGAGGATGCTGGGATCAGCCCAGGAGCCTGCAGGATCCGGATCATTTCCAGCTCCGGAGCGGAGCGAGGCGAGTTGGGCAGCGCTGACCTTTCCGTGCCGGAGACAAAGAGGAGATGCCAAGAGCCTCGGAGGAGTCACCGGATCCGTGTCGGGGGGCTCTCCCGTGCCAGCCGGGACGGAGCGGGAGGCCGGAGCCACGCAGGGGGCTCGGGAGCTGGCGGGGACCACGGGAAGCCAAAGGCGCTGGGATCTCAGCCTGGGAAAAGGAGGGATCGGATTCCCCCCTCCCCGTCCCCACCGGACAAACTCTTCCGGGTAGGGACTCCTACGCGCCGCGCTCTGCCCAGGCACAGCAGCAGCAGGAAAACACGGGAATACGGCAGAAAACAGAAGGGAAAAGGGGCGATGGAGCCCGGCCCCTGCAGCCGCAGCAGCGCCCGGCTCCTCTGGCTGCCGGCGCCGCGGCTCAGCCCAGCTGCCGACTCATCCCTGCCATGGAAGCGGAGAAGGAAAAGTTTCCCCGTCAGCAGAAAACAGGGACAAGTGGCCAAGGCTTGGCTCCCGCCGCCCTGCTGAGGAGTCCCCGTGCCGGGGGTGCGCGCAGCGGGGAGCAGCGCGTCCCCATAGGATCCCCATGGACCCTCGCCAATGCAAAGCGGCCCAGCGGGGTGATGCTCCCCATGCCCATTCCCTTGCTCTGAAGCGAGTTATGACAGGATTCAGGGCAAGGATCACAAGCAGGGCCAATGTCAGCGATGTGCAGTGTCCCCTCGGACCATACAGTGCTTAGGATGATGCCACGATGTAGAAGCACCAACATCCCAGAAGCACCCAGCATCCAGGTTGGACACAGGGGCTTGGAGCAAGCTGCTCTAGTGGAAGGTGTCCCTGCCCATGGCAGGGGGTTGGAACTGGAGGAGCTTTAAGGTCCCTTCATCCCAAACCATTCCATGATGCTACAATCGCACCTCACCACGGTCCCCGCATCCCTCACCCTCCTGCCCAGGTGGTGCAGGCAGAGGGATGCTTCCAGCCAGGACTCCTGCATCCCCTGGGGCACGTCGCTGTGCATCAGCTTCCCACGTTTAAATCCAAGACCCCTCCCAGAAGCTCACAAATCCAGGAGGACACGGAACTCCTCAGTTACTCACAGAGAGCTCTCCCGGGATCTAAGTTGCTTAATTACTACCTTAAAAGAGTCACCATCCAGGGGGGTGACACACCAGCGCTCCACATGGCTCAGGCATTTGCTTTCTTCCTTTATCCAGGGTGAGCTTGCCTGCATTCTCCCCCCCCCCCCTTTTCTCTTTCTAATGAACAAATAGAGGGGCAGGTTTTATAAGTCCATGGAAATTCTATTATCCCTCTGCATTAAAGCCAAAAGCAAGTAATTAAAACATCAAAGTCAGATGTTTCATTAGCTCGACCTCGCAAAGTGCTGGCAGGAACGTGGCTCCTGTGGCCGGCTGCACCCAGGGACCCCGAGGCTGGACCCCAGCCCAAAACGTGGTCCTTGTCCCAGTGTCACTGGGAAACCCAGTGGGAAGCTCTGGGCTGTCACCTGCCTGTCCCTCTCCTCCAGCCCATCACTGCTCAGCGCTGGAGGCCTCTGCATGCCCTGGTTTTGAGAGGAAGAAGGCACCAACCTCCCTCTCCCTATCCCCCAGCAGCATCTCCATCACCAGCAACACAGGACGGGTCCTTATTCCCCCCACCCCTCCACAGGCACAGCACAAAGGCAAGAGTGATGGGTTCATATTCCCATCTCACTCACAGATCTATTTCCTCCTCTTCACATCAGATCTCCACATGTACAGAATCATGATGGAGAGGACACCTCTGCCTCCATCCATCCTGATCAAGTAAGCTCCAGGCAGCCCACACGCATCACACAGCATCCCTCACCCTGCCTGGATCCACTCCCAGATGCCCCCAGCGCAACACAGGGGCTGGGGAACACCAAGGAGGTGGTACCCATTTGTGCTGCAGCAGCCATCTCCCCCATCCAACGACCTGCATCCCATTGCCACGGTCACTCGGAGCTGCTCCACAAGCCTGGTCCCTGCCACAGAGCAGCAGCAAAGAGGCATCGGCAGCAAGTCCCCACTGCAGAGCTGCTGCCTCCTTCCAGTGCTGCTGCAACAGGCACATGCAACCACTGCGGGCAAGCCTTGATCGTGGCCTAACAGCGAGGGGAAAACAACAGGAAAAGGCAGGAAACAATCCCAAAGAGCCCCATAGAGGAGCAGGAAGCAGGCAGGGAAACCGCAGCCCCTGCAAGGTGCAGGCAGGGAAGGAAGGAGCAGGCAGCCGGGGAAGGCCTTGGGGAAGACGAGGGAACTCCAGGCACAGCTCCACCCCGGTGCTTCTGCTGCAGAGCAACGGCGGAGAGGAGAACGGGGCCCTCCATGCCCAAGGAGCCGGGTGGCTCCAGCACTGCACATCCCAGCTCCTTGCACACAAGGCTCCGTGATGCTCCAGCCACACCGGCAGCAAGAGATCCCGACCGAGCACAGAGAGCGCGGCGAGAGCCGGATCCACAGCAGGGAATTCCCTCCGTCACCGGCTCAGCCGACAACACCCAACAACAGCCAACAACACCCTTCACCCCCTCAAGCCTGTACCTGCAGCGCTCGCCCCACCTCGCCTGCAGCAACAGAGCCCAGGCTCTGCAGAGGACCCTGCACATCACCCACGGCGCTGCCACCAGCGAGGGCGCGACAAGGATGGAGCCCGCACCCCGAGGGGCCGGGCTCCGAGGTACAGGAGGGCAAGGGCAAGGACAAGGAACGGGGAAGCTCTGCCTCAACGCCCTGGGTGCTTCCCAGCTCCATTTGCAGCTCAGCACCAACACCACCACCCCGGGCATCCCTTGGGCCGCACCGGTGCGGCACCCGCCTTGGCACGGGGCACAGAATCCACATCTCCGAGTGAACCGCTCCCAAAGGGCTTTATGGAATCAGAGGGGTCGGGAGGCCTCCGAGACCACCCCCAAGGCTCTTTCCACCTCCAGCCCCCTTGATCCCAAGGGTGGGATTTCCTTGGAGGGTGACCCAGGCGGGCACACACATGGAGCAGGGAAGGGAAGCCCGTGCTGCTGCGAGGTGGGGCTGGCGGGGACGTCAGCTCCTCTTGCTCATGATTAAATAATGTGGGTGCGTTTGAGCGCTCAAGGAAGCGAAAGATTGAGGGCACAAACCCGCCTGCCCCATTAGCGGTTGGGGGGGGGCACCCCCCTTTGCACCCCACCTCGGGCACAAACAGGCTGCGCTGGTTTGAGCTCTGCAATCCAAGCCCCCACCCAAGCCCAGGTCTCCAGAGATAAGAGCACAATAACCTATTGTCCCTCCTCCATTCCTTCCCCCTCGCCACATCTCCACTCCCCTCCGGCCAGGCAGGGAAGGGAACACCCAAAACATCACCCCTTTCACCACCCCAGGGTGCTCCTTGGACCCGGAGCCATGCTCGGAGCCTTGGGAAGCAGGGAAAGGGTAAAGGGGGTGCGGAGGAGGCTCCTGCCTGCCGGCCATGTGGGCAGGGTTCGCCTTTAGCTCTTGATTTCCCTTTTCCTCCCCTTTTTTCCCCCCTCCCTTTTACTCCTCCTGGTCCCTATCAGCCGGGTGGATGCAGGCAAAGTGTGTGTGGGGGGAACCACAGGCAAACACCACGCAGCCCCCACCCCCCCCCCAACCTCCTTCGTGCCCCATGGATGCGGAAAGACCCCCCCACACCCCCTTATGTTGCCGCAACCCCCCCTCCCTCCACCTTTCCCTATGGGAATTATGGAGGCATCAACCCCACAGCACCGCATCCCCCCCCTCAATTCCATACAGTGCCACGCTGCCCCCCCCCATTAAAGGGCAGGCAACAAGTTGAATGGAGCTTACACCACCCTATATCCTAAAAGAGGGGAAGGGGGGGGGGGGGGGAAGGCGTGATTCCCACTGGGAAGGAACGGGATGGGGGGAAAGCAACGTCCCATCGACCCGCCGCGGGTGGGCACGTTGCTTTCCCCCACACACACACACTTAAAACACCCTAAAACCACCCGAAATCACCCCAAAACCCACTCACCTCGATCCCTGCAGCGCCCGATTGGCAACGGAGCCCTCTGGGCTGGCCATGGGAAGAAGGGGAAGGGAAAAGGGGGGGGATATAAAGGGAACGGACCCGGAGCTAGCGGGAGAAAATGCTTGTCATGGCAACCCGTGCCGAGCCGAGCCGAGAAGGGCTCGCCCCAACCCGCCGGAGGAGGGGCTCTCTTAAGGTGGCGGCCCGCCCCGTCGGGCCGTTTTAAGGGGGAGACGGAAAGGGATGGTGTAATCCTATGGGAGAGTGGGGATACCCCCCCCTCCATAGGAAAGCATCGTATACGCACCCCCCCCCCTCTCCAAGCAATGTAGGGACCCCCGAGCAATGGGGGACCCCCCCCTTCAGGCAGTACAGTGACCCCCAATGGGCACCCCTAGGCAGTGTGCGGGTCCCCCCCACCCCGGGCAAGCATCATTAATGCACCCCTAAGCAGTACAGGGGTACCCCAAGAGGTGAGGGTATTCTCATGCAAGCAGCGCTCCCCGTTCCGGGCAAGGGGGTTGGGGGGGTCAGATCCCTGTAGCACCGTGAGCAAAACTGGGGCTCCTCATGGGCGCTATGGGTTTGGGGTTCCCCAAAGGCACTGTAGGTTCGGGGTTCCTCATATGGGCACTGGGGTTTGGGGTTCCCCATAGGCACTGTGGGTTCGGGGTTCCTCATATGGGCACTGGGGTTTGGGGTTCTCCATAGGCACTGTGGGTTCGGGGTTCCTCATATCGACACTGGGGTTTGGGGTGCCTCATATGGGCACTGGGGTTTGGGGTTCCTCCTATGGGCACTGGGATTCGGGGTTCTTTATACGGGCACTGGGGTTTGGGGTTCCCCATAGGCACTGTGGGTTCAGGGTTCCTCCTATGGGCACTGGGGTTCGGGGTTCCTCATATGGGCACTGGGGTTCGGGGTTCCCCATAGGCACTGTGGGTTCGGGGTTCCTCATATAGGTACTGAGGGGTTCGGGGCTCGCCATGGGCACCACGATGTGCCCATTGCGGTGCGCTGAGCCCCATTAGCCATGTGGCGCAGCCCTAGGACACCCCTTTGCGTGACAGCGTCCCCCAGCACCCCATGAGCTGCAGGGAGCTGAGCTGATCCCAACCCTTTCCCTGCTCCAGCAGGAAGCGGGGAGGGAAAACACGTGCGAATCCCTGCGGCCGCAGCGCTGGGTGTAGGCAACCTTAAAAGAGCGCTGATCCTGCCGGTATCCCCACGTTGGGGCACGCAACCCGGTTCAAGTTAAACCAGTGGAACATCTGTGCACGCACAAGCCCTCATTAGCGTTTGTAACGTTTTTTCCAACCCCCTCGAGGGCCTGCACCTCGATAATTCTGCATTCCTGAGCGGTCCCAAGGCAACAGCGGGGCACGGCGCTGAGCGCTGAGCCCCACAAAACACTTGGAGCCCTTTGCTTGGGGACGAGGGGGGGGAAATTCCTCCCCAAGGGCTTGAGGAGCCACAGCCCAAACCGTGTGCTGGTGGAATTCCTTCCATTCGGCTCATAGGGAGGGGATGTGGGCTCCGGTGAGCCCAGTGCAGGGAGGTTCTGGGCACTGGAGGTTGGTTGGAGTCAAGGGTATGAGTGTGGAGCTGTATTGAATGTAATAAAGCATCTCCATCAGCAGCACAAAGCAGTGACCTGCTCCTGTGCTTTGTAGCATGGGAGGGGGAAAGCTTTGCTATGGGGACAGGAGCTGGGCTACAGAAGGCTTCTTAAGGGGAGACCTTAGAGCAGCTCCAGTGCCTAAAGGGGCTGCAGGAACCATGGAGAGGGGCTTGGGACAAGGGCAGGGGACACTCATCACTTCTATCCCCAAAAGCAACCTGAGGCATCTTCCATTTCTTAGCTCCATGGATGGAAAGCGGGCAGAAACACAGAGCTTTCAGCTGGTGCCCAGCTCACCTCCAGCAACAGAGAAGCAGATGGCCCTGACCACGTCGAGTCCCCATCCAGCTTGAAGAGTCGATGGTGGTGCAGGCAGCAGACAGTGCTTCCAGTGGGCTGGAGGCACAACGGCCACTGAGGCATAACGGCCTTTTAAAACGGGTTTTCTGGGCTTGGGAGGGATCTGTGACCATCTGGATTTGGACTCCTGAAAGGAGATCGGCTTTCCTGCCTCTGGGAATCTGTTGTTAACAGGGCAATTGGTGCTCAGGCTGTGGCTTGGGGGGGGGAAAGGGAGGTTGTGCTCGCTGAAATAGCCCAAATGCACTTGGAAGCCTTCCTTCCCATGCAGCGGCAGCCTGCAGTTACCGAGCTCCTGCCTGGTGTGTTTCCATTACAGCGAGCATCACCATAAACACTGCGCTGGAAGCCCCTTCCATTCCACATTGAAGGACAAGCACATGGAGGAAGAGCCAGGAGCCTGCTCACACCCATGCATCCCCACAACCCACCAGGGAATAGTTCCTTCGTGGAGCATTTTGGGGTCATACGTGGAAGATGTGGATCTAAACCCGCTCCCAAGGGCTCCTCCTGCCCCTGCTTCCCAGGATGCCCTCCTGCTCCTTCCCGTTCAGTCTCAGGGCCGCCTGCTCTCCTGCTGCTGGGACACACAAGGCTTTGCTACCCCTGGAGAGGTGATGGAAGGTGAAGAAGAGGGAGAAGGCAGCAAGCCTTGAGCCACAACGTTCCACACTCCTCTGCCCCTGGTTATCCAGGATCATCCAGAGCTCTGGCTGCTGCAGCCACCAGGAAGCACACTGGTTCCCATGGCAGGGATGCAGGCAGGGGAGGGATGCAGAGGCTGGTGGTCCTCAATGCTCTCCCCATCTTAGCAGAGCCCCACCGTGACCGAGCAGCATCAGAGCCCACAGGCAGGGACCTAAACCTTGCTGCGCTGGGAACCTCAGCTCTAATCCAGATTTTGGCACCTCTTTCCTATTCCAAATGCTTTCCTGCTGGGTGCTCTGTAAGCAAAGCAGGCAGCAGGCCCTGGCCTGAGCAGTGGCTGGCCTAAAAGAGCCCAGCAGCAACACGAAATAAATAAGCCCAAAATAGAAGAAGCTGAGCCCGCAGGGTTCTTGTGTAAAAACCAGGCTTAACTGATGGTTTCCCTTCAAAACCAGTATGGAACTCAGTCATAATTTGCCTTTAATGTCTCCCAGGCTGGGAAGTTGGAGGTGGAGTCTCAGCGCAGAATGAATTGAATCAGCCAAGTTACAAACCCATCAAAACCCGAGGCCAGATCCTGATCTCATCCCCGCGGGGACAAATCCAGCGGCGGGGAAGGGTTTTGTCATGGTGCCGGAGAGCAGGATTGGACCCGCAGGGTTTCTAATGGAAACACTGACTGACTCCTGAGCACAAGGCAGTCGGGCATCTGTAAAACCTCTCTCCATTCAAGGGCTAAATATAGGGAGAGCGATTTCACTTGGGATAAATAAACCCTGGAGCGCTGCTGCGGGAGAGGCTTCATTGGGAATGCCGGGGGGTCCCGTGCCTCTGAGGTCCCTGGGGATGTTGGGGCTATCCGAGGTGCTCCCAGTGATGCTGCAGCCGCACGGGGCTGGTGCAAAGGGGGTTTCAGGTTTCCTTCCTTTTCCTTGAGCACTGCAGAGCTTCAGCACCCTCAGATGCCTGTTTGCAAGGGTCCCATCACATCACCCCCCTTTCCTGCTCTGCTCCCCTTGTTTCTGGGCTTTCCCCTTGCTCCAAGGCAGCTCCCCATGGCTTTGCAGCCCCAGAAAAACCCCACAGCCGTGGCATTGCCAGTACCCCCATTGCCATGCTATTGCTAATAAGCCTCTCCCAGAGCGTTTCTGCTCTCTGTTACTCTAACAGACCTGTTAATTTCTAATTAAGCAGCTGCTTCATTAGGAAGGGGGAGCTGGGAGAACAGAAGAGGAGGGATTTGGGCCCAGTTTTGCTTTATGGGTGTAATTAGGAGACAAAACTGTTTGCTCACCTAAGGAATCCATCACGGAGCTGACAGCCACGCTGTGTTTTCCCTGGGAGCCCTGTGACTGACGGCGCTTTCCCTTTCCCCACCCCTACACTCGGAGCTGGAGCCACCACAGGCTCCACATCTATTAATGCTTGTTATTAAACCCGGAGTATTTTCAGCAGGAGCCTCTGAGCTGCTTCTTCCCAAGCACCCGTGGGCAGGGGGGGATACGCCATGGCACAGGGATGCGGTGAAGCCTCACCAGCACATTGGAGCTCGTTTCTTCTCCATGGAGCACCCTGGCAATGGACGTGCCCCCACCTTGGGATGCGGGGGTCCCCTCCTGAGGAAGGGAAGCAGCAGCATCCCCGGCTCCCTCTCAAAATGAACATTTCTCCCTCCAGTTCTGCCCTCGTTCCGTTCCTCACATCAGAGGAGGAACCTTGTACTCGGTGTTTGCATCGCGGTAACAGCTCCGGGACCTTAGTGGGACTGAGGAGAGTCCCTGCTGCCAGCAGTGACAAGGCGGTGGGTAGTGCTGAAAGGGAGGAGAGAGAAGTGACAGCGCGGGAGAGCCGCTCCATCGCTCACAAGCTGTCAGCCCCGGAGCTGGGGAGCTGAGGAGCACCCAGGCTCCTGAGCCCTACTTTGGGGCCTTCCATCCAGAGCCAAGGGAAAAGCCAAGGGATGCTGTTGGGCCCAGCCTGGGCACTGTGGTACCCAGCACAGCGATGCTATGAAACCCATATGGGGCCAATGGCACCAGGATGCAGCAGGGATGGGGACAGGGCACATTTGTGCCCTCTTGTTGCCCCTTCCTAATCCTGTGGGGTCAGGAGCAGCCCTCCAAGAGGGTACTGCCCTCATCCTGCTGCTCCCAAAATCCTGCCTTTGCAACCCAAAGAACCCCACATGGGGACACGGAGCTGTTGGAGCGAGTGCAGAGGAGGCCATGGAGATGCTGGAGAAGGCTGTGGGAAGGTGGGATGCATCCGTTCTCCCAAATATCAGGCAACAGGACAAGATAAAACAGCCTCAAGCTGCACCAGGGAGGATGAGACTAAAAGATTCCTTCACCCAAAGGGCTGCCCAGGGCAGCGGCGGAGTCAGCATCTCTGGGGGGATTCAAAAGCCATGTATAGATGGTGCTCTGAGAACATGGGTTAGCAGTGGACTTGGCCCCAATGATCTCCAGAGTCTTTTCCAACCTAAACGATTGGATGCTTCCAACTGCATCCCTGGGAAGA